TCAACAATAATCGCTTTGCTATTGAGCTGTTGTCTCTCTGCATTGAGGGCGCACACTGACTGAGGTTATCCAGAGCTAGTCGAAAGTTGTTCCTGCTCACAAATGAGGCTTGCATCCCAAAACCTATTGAGCTAAGTCCTACCCTTTCCCAATGTCGTGAATAAAAACCCTATGGGATTACAAAGAAAATTTACATGTTCGCAAGAAAATTTTGTCCCGAGAGCGGCGGGTGCGATGACTGAATAGCGGGCCAAATAAGACCGATGTCATAGTTTGCGAATCGAGCGTTGCACCAGCGAATCGAACTTTGCGCCAGCGAGTCGAACGATGTACCAGCGAGTCGAACTAGGTACCAGCGACTCAATAGTGGCGGGACCCAACGTTCAAAGGAAGCCCGCCACTTTCAAACAGTGTCACGTGACAGTGGACGCTGTTTGAAAGTGGCGGGACTTGACAGTGGACACTGTTTGAAAGTGGCGGGCTTCCTTTGAACGTTGGGTCCCGCCACTATTGAGTCGCTGGTACCTAGTTCGACTCGCTGGTGCATCGTTCGATTCGCTGGCGCAACGCTCGGATCCAGCGATTCGCTAGCGAATCGCTCGATTCGCAAACTATGACATCGGCCCAAATCCGTGAATTGCTAGCCTGCTTTGTTTCGACCGCCGGGAGAGAGGGGCGTAAGGCAGGGAGTTATTGGAGAAGGATGCGGTAGGTAGCACCTATTTGTTCACAGTAAGCAAAGCGCTTCAAAAATAGCGCAAGCCAATCGACAATAATTGTTTAGTTTTTGTGAGTATATTCATATTAGCTCCAAAGCAGATTTCTCAACCATTAAATGATCGAAGGTCTTGCGTCGTTCGAGTGGTTTTCTCTATCTGCCTCGTTTCCCCGGCAAAAACATCACTGGAGGGACACTTCTCATCGATGACTTCAAAGCAACATTTTTGAAAGGTTATCACATTTGCGACTAATATTTATTCTTTTGTCGATAGCTACAAAATGTAAAACAAACGGAAGGCTCAGAGCCGTATTTATTAAGGAGTAAAGAAAAATTCAAAACGAGGAAGGCTGTAGATGCCAAAAAAGGGACTGGTTTACCAGATAAGCTAGGTATGCCAGCTGATGTTCTGATTTCACAAAGCTATGAATTGATCGGATTAACACGAAACAATTTCTAATTTCTATAATTCTATCCTAAAAACCAGTAATATACAATAAACTTGGAGAAGCACAGGGACTAAAATAAGGACCAACAAGGCCAGCGCTAACTAACTGGACTGTTAGAGATGGAAGCTCAGAGAGGTGTATAATCCGGAAACACGAGATCTAATATCTGCCGCCCAAGGGTCAACCACTGCGCTGAGACGAATTTAGCAATTTGGTCCGTTCATTTCTGCTCCTAGACGGGACCCCATCCGCCTCCACATGGTAAATCAATTAACCAACCTAGCTCTAACATCCTTAACTTTTGCAAAGACACCGTCCACGGTATGGGAGAGTGTCATATCAGGCCGTACTAACGCTCAGCCGCACGAGAACTTTCTTCTATTCACTCTTCTGCTAGAAGTGCAATGTGACCACTTCCTTTCGAGCCCACCCTCTCCCTGCCCCTCGCTCCTCATTTGAGAAATCTCAACTAGTAGGGTTGACCCTGGTTGTCACTTTGCCACTGCATCAAACGCATAGAAGTGAACAGAAAGTCTACTTTTCGTTCAATACTAGGTTTTGCTTGCTATTTGGCAGGTTTCACTACAATTTCTTTGCAAATCTACCCATGAGCAATCAATAATCATGAATGATTATTCTTTTTTACTTTTAGCTATGGTTAAAAAACACCTCCGAGAAATTTTGTAGACAACCAACGCTACAACAATTATGACACCGAGAACGGCAAGAAAAATGTCAATCAGGTAATACTCGATAAAAGATAAATGCCGTCCATATGGGTCGAGATTCGGCAAGCGTCCAAACCTGAAAACAAATCAACATTTTCACCCTCGAATTTACATTACGCTCCATTACTGCACTCAAAAATGAATGTGAAAGGATATGTGGACCACATGTAAAGGAGTAGGACCTTTTTTCCGAGTGATGAACGATTATAGAAGCTCAATGAGGCAAACAGAGACGCACAAGACGGATTTCGAAGTTCTCAGATTCAGTGTTACTGAGACCCACGTCAGTGTGGCACCGAGGCCAGCAGTCCAATGGGTCATAGGCTACCGCGCCCAATTCGGACACTTCCGCTGTGGGCTCTCCAGTGACCTTCGAAGTTATAATGCCCACTTCACGGAATACGAGTCCCTTCCAAATGTTCCCTTCCTAATGATCACCGATGTGATCCAGCGCTGAATGTGGTTCAAAAACAGTTGACATTGCTTACAGCAATTACGATTTTTATTGCCCAAGGAATATACAACTTTTATGTGGATTGAGCCAAATACGGCTTCAATTGTCTTGAAAAGGAAACCGAACTGTAGCTCAACCTCGTACCAACAAGTACTTCTAAAATTACATACCTAATCCTTCTCAAAATAATGAATGCGGCCTTTCCTGAAACTATATTCAAAAGAACAACTTCACCTGGCGGCAAATTCGCTGTGTTTGATGAGGAGCTGCTTGGCGCTGACTGGCTGATTCAACAGCATCTCCGACAGCCGTTTCGCATTTTTAGTGAAGCTGAAACATTCTCAATTTGAGTCATCTTATCGATTTGGTTGCGGTTTCGTGGTCACAGAGGGAATAATCCAACCGCTTGAAATGGACGGAAGAACCGATAGCTATACTTTCATCGTGGAGAATGCTTTCGAGAGAACTCCTCACTTCCTCTGGATGCTCCAAAGCAGATTTGCTCAGAACAATACCACCACCGTGTTTGGCAAGCATCTGAGCATTCCTGATTTGATCCGCGAAGACCGGTATCTCTCTCAGTGAAAAATACAAATGCACGCTCGAGTTGTGATTTCTGATGCCATAATTATCTCTCATTCCGGTTTAGAAGTGCCTTGTTATAAGCTTCACCTAGTATTCGCTGTATTCCTCCAGAAGGCTATGGAATCAAGCTCGGTTGGCCACATACCTGGAGAAGTGACCGGCTTCAGACATTCCCGAACACTGGCGTGACTAAAATGAATTCAGTGTCAGAAGTATCGAAGAATGGATACAGTAAAACTAATTTTATCTTCTCTGACCATCCTGTAAAGAGCGATCCACTTACTTGTACAAACAGCCTTGTCACTGCTCTGACCGATCCTGGCATGTGTAAGGAGTACCCCTCGCCAGGAGAGGCCCATAGCGCGGCGAGAATGCTTAAACGCAGACGGGTCAGCGGACGAGTTGCAGGCGTACTGTAGTCATTTTGCGTCAAGGTGAACATGTAGAATGTACTATACTACGTCCCACATCACGCAACTTGTACAGCGGATCGCAGACGGTCCACCAAACCGTCTGTGTCTTTGCCTTTTCGCCACGCGATGAGCGCCCTGTAAGGTAGCTAAAATTTTATGCGGTTAAGCCAAGGAGAGGGAGAAAAGAAGAAGAATAAGAAGAAGGAGGTAAGAAGGAAAAGGAAAGAAAAGAAAGAAGACAACACAGACAGGAAAACTTCAAACTGAAGTGCATGTGTAGAAAAAGTCAATGGCTACGAATCATAAAAGCGGATTTGCTCTAAAAATCAAAGTTTAGAGAATTTAGATTTTGAGGACGGTGTGATTATATTTCAAATTCGTTCAGAAATAGTTGATTTCATAAAAATCCGCCAGTCAGGGACGAGAACTCAAGGTAGCCCAGGCATGTGTCGTGCATGAAGAACAGGCTGCGGGAGAGAGAACATTCCGAGAAGACACGATTCTAGGAATGGTCAGTATTAGCCTTCACAGCTTACGTTTTAGCGTTATATGACATCTTCTTATTATTTTCCAGTATTTTTGAAATAGTACTCACCAAGAAGAGCAATCTGCGGGACCCAAGTCCGCAAATAGACATTTTTCAGATAAGCAGCTATTTGCGAGCCTTCCTCTTCATATTTCCAGATAAACGTTGTTTCAGGCATACTTTCGAAAACGGCCAGAAGAGTTTTTCTTAACAGAGGACTTCTTCAACTTCTGAGTAGCAAATTTACAATAGACGTATATTATTGATTCTGAATAAAATCTGGAGATAGCCGCACATTGATATTGAAACTCGGTCGTAAAGCCGAGAGCATAGTGAGCCACTGTTGAGGAATCTCAATACAAGTGATACTGGCTGGGGGGGGGGTTGTACTGTAGTTTTTCGTTGGGAAATAAGGGTTTGTTTCGGATTGGGTGGAATGGGCAGTGGAATTCAGAAAACGTGGAAGGGGTTCATTTAAAAAAATTCTCGCTGAAACTAGGATATAATGGGAATCAAAAGTTGTGGAAAATTTCAAGATTCATCAAACTTTTGCAGCAGAATACGAAATGATTCGGGGATAGCGTTCGAGCTGTGTAAGGTCGCTAAGTGGATGTCGAAATTTCTCAGCACATGAAACTTGCTCAAGTGTTAGATATTATAATAGACTCACTAGCGCTTACTTGTATTCATCAGGCATGAAGACAGATTTCGCCACTGAACCAAACGAGACCAGTACGGTGGTGTTTCTTTCACTTCAGTATATCATCCCATTGCCTATAAGTGAGGGAAAAATTTTCAGAAAAAGAACAAAGAGTAGAAGTTTCTGCACCTTTGTTAGAACTTTTTTCTTGGAATCGATTTTGACAGCAACTCCGCCGATCGGAACAGTTTTGTGTAGCATTGGACGAGGATAATCGAGGTATGGGTTTGCATTCGTAAAAACAAATGAGGAATCCACAAAGATTTCCTGAAAATAAATCATCAATCTAACCGTGTCTCGCATGAACAGAAACGACCTGTAGAATTCTGCAGTCTCCACTTACAAGATCAGCTCACAGTGTCGTGACTTCCGTACGACTTACCGTACGGCTTACTTTAAGGGGTCACATTGCCGCGGGACGTGGCTCGCAGAACCGTCGAATATCCTGGAAGCCGCACCAGAGAAGCAGAGTACGGGCGCGCTCACTGTTCAAAACAGTCTACACGCCGTCAGGGATGGTCGCCAATGTTCGTCGTCGTCACCCGCAGTCCTTTCATCGCTGCACGTCAGCGAACACCGCGGATGCACTACCGGGTATGGAAGCCGAGATCGACAGCGGGACTGCTGCCGCGTCGCCCCCGTAAGAAAACGTATGGGTTCGACCCCGTGAGTAGTAGGTTGTATTCCGTATTGGTCTTAGTGCTCTTGTATTTATTCATTTCGTAGTGTATTCTCGTAATTTCATTATATGTATCTATGTTGTTTTTATTTCTTGTTCTGTGTAGCGTCTGAGATATCTATATCTATCTAAAGTTTGCACCGCGGCGTATTTGTATTGCACGCTCTAGAAGTGGAACTAACTAACGATGCCCATAGACCGGGCCAGGGAAAAACCATCCTGGGCCATAGGGCCAAAAGGACAAAATCATCAGGCGTCATCGCAAGCAAGTTAAAGCAACAATCCAGGAACGAATTCGCGGGTAAGGACCACCTATAATGACGTTGCAGGTGAGAAGTTGGTCAATGGAGAAAGAAAAAGTAGAAAAAAACGTCGGGCAGGGGCTTAGACAGGGACTCCCCTGCCGTTTAGGGAGACGTGTGTTGGACGAGTTGTCCGAACCTGCCCGTAGTACATGCGCTCCAATTGCAACTGCTGGCAAATAGCCATGCATGCTTGCAAATACATAACTATTTGCCAGCAATCGTAATTGAAGCGCTTCAATTGCGTTCTTATGGAATCGACCTCATACAGCGCGGCGGTCCCGCAACGACCGCTAGTCGAGCAAGCGCTCTGCACAGCTGCTTGGAGGCGGCCCCACCACGGATCGGTGGATCCGCCCCTCTTGAAGGATTTCGACTGCTTCCAACGCCTTTCAGAGGTAAGTTTTGAAGTTTGTGACATTTCCCATGAACTCCAATCAGGCTGAGGCATGTTTCCACCACTTGAAAACCAAATGGTTGAAACCCTGCCTGGACTGTTGCTTTAAGCCTGCAACAGGTCTTATTCAGTCGTAGTACCTCGAGGCTGCCAGGGCCTACCTTGGCAACCCGCATGGTGGAGTGGCGGGCAGGGACCGCGGCATAACACCCCGGATGCAAACCCTCACTACGGCCCTGGCACCGTTCCTTCGCCAGAAGGAAGATGCTTATGCTTTTGTTCGTAGGCATAAGTGCGAAGGAACAATAACACATACCCGCGAAATGTGATTCTGGTTTACTTAAAAAAAGAACAGGCTAAGTGTCCTCCTTATACACTTTGGTATTTGGGAAATCAAGAGCTATAACCGTTTGCAAAAAGATTTCGTGGAAGGATCGGCGATCTTCAATGGTTTCTGATAGCGCATTTTCTAGTGGCTCCTCTTCTTCCTTCTCCGTTTTCTAGTGAATGAAAAGTGAAGTTTCCAGATCGTATTTACTGATAGAATTCACCTGTACCTCACACAGCTGCGCTGACCTCGGATGGGACTTGTGCACCGGCCTCACAACAACCTCACTGGTCACCCGATTGTACGAAAGGTGAAAATGTGGTAAAACACGGTAACAGCCTCAACCGTTGGTTGGGGTCGTATTCGGCCGACCGAAAAGGGGGGGGGGTCGTATTTACAAGGATCAACGTCGCAATACGTAGGAGAGAGGCATAACTTCCGAGCGCTTCTTCAACTACTAACCACAAACGAGTGCATGGCGCACCTCAGAGCAGAAGAGTCCACTGCAGTAGTGTCCATATGTGACTATTCACGTACACAAATATGCTTCTGAAGAGAACCAATGTATTCAAACTGAACCTACGTTAGTAAAAGGGTGACCACTTGGGTGATTGACTGCTAAAGGCTTACAATAAAAGTTTGGAGAAAAAAAATTTGCCTGTCGACGAGTTCCTAGAAAGAGTTCAGTATCTGTTATGAAGCACAAAAGCTTTGCGATCTTGTGGTATCATTACTCCCCATAAAATTAATTTTAAAGAGAGCTGTGACTGTGTTCCTGTTCAGGAGAGTAGCTCCGAAAATTCATGAAAAAAAAACGGTCCAACGAACGATTTTCCGAAGAGGGGTCATTGTGGAGACTAGTTCAAGCATTCATTAGAAAGCACTAACCTTCTTCTAGTTTCTTCCAGGGGACAAGAATGCAAAAAGTTGAATCTGAAGAAAGTTATAACAGTTCAAAGCCAAAAAACCAGCGCTCTGCCAAAAATCGGTCCGCGATTTCCCAAAACGGTCCAACGGGGCGATTTGACTCCATCAATTTTGAAAAGAGTTCAAGTATTCGTTAGAAAGCTCTAACCTTCTAGTTTATCCCAGGGGACAATAATTGCAAAAGGTTCTTTCTGAAGAAAGTTATAGTCATTGAAAGCCAAAAAACCCGGTTGTGCACAAAAAACGGTCCAACGGGGCGATTTTTGAAGAAATGAAACTTTAAAAATTTAGAAAGAAAACAATCTGGAGTTTCAAAATTTTCTTACCACTTCTCACACTTTCTTATTTGAAGAAATTACAACCTTTCAAATGAAGAAGTGCGCATTTCTGTGAATTCTTAATTCTCTACCCCATAACTAAAAGAGTTCTGGAGATACTGCATAAACGTGGTGGTTTCTAAAACTAGCAGTCTCTTAGATTACCCGAAAAATATTGACGCTGAACAGAATTACACTCTTTGAAAATTAGTAGTCTGCCTTGGTCTATCCGCGCTGGGCCGAGTAGAAGATTGTGCGCGCCAATGCAAACGCGACGCTACCGCGCTCAATCTGGTGTAACGCTCGAAGTAGTAGTACGAAGTAGTACGCAAACACACACAAATACCAAGTGTACAGTACATAATAAGTGTTTGGGGGGGGTCGTATCGAGACTCGCTAAAAGGAGGGGGTCGTAAAATTTTCGAAATTGGTCCAACGTGACGGTTGACCCTGCACGGTAACAGTATGGAGCCAACTATAGAATTTCCATGGAGGTGAAGCCACCCTCCCCCTTCCCCGCAGCATCGTCACGCCATGTGATTTGCAGATTTTTCGGCATTTTTTCTTCCCATCATTTTTCTTCATTTCATCATTGATGGGAACCATCGAAAACACGTTAACCTACGAGCAAAACAACCCGCAAGCTTTCAATTACACTATGTGCCCATAAAGCCGTTTTCACTCACCTCATAACCTTTGAATTGTGATCCAAACTTCCTTCCGAAAAATATTAATTTCCTTAGTGAACACATCATGGAAAAGTCTTTCTCCCATCAACACTTCAATGACGTTCTTAAGTCGATCGATCATATTCATAT